AAGACCTAGGCACATATTTTAACAGCCCAGATTAAGTTCTTTCAGTATCTTGGAATAACACACAGTTGCATTTGAGGTTAAAGTGTAAAATAGAGAAACATGTAACTATTAGAGTTGAGAAATAATTAACATTGGCCAGCTAGAGAGAAGTGATATAAACCTTTCTTTCCTTCCCACGACTTTTTCATCCAGTACTTTTGGTCTTGGGCAGTAACTGTTTGCCTACTGATCCAAAGGGTTCAGGAGGCAGGAGTTTGCTCCGGCTGCAAAGGAAAAATCTTCTTTGTTGCACTATGGTCTGCACCCTTTGAGGGACCTATATTCTTTAAAAAAAAAAAAAGACAATTAAAAATTTCTATTAAGAATTGCACACAGATTTTTATGTTACACACAAATATGCACACACCTACTAATGTATCAAAGCCATTCAATTAAAGTACTACTAAGATATATCAATAGTAATAGGAAATTTAAATATTTTTCTAACATGCATTTTTAAAGCTACTTGATGTTTAAAAGGGACCTTTTTTTACTGTTTTTATCATATGTATCATGGGTAAGAACATTCTATTTATCCTTGTAATGTAAGACTATTAATACATCTAAAACATACAAAGCACAGTGTGTTTAGGCATTGTTCCATATGACTTAAATTATGTCATTTAAATCTCCCAACAACTCTATGTGATAGGTACTATTACTATGGATATTTTACATATGGGGAAATCTAGTCCTGCCCAGAAAGGTTATAACTAGATTAAATTTACGCAGTAAAAAGATTTGTAATCAGAAAATCTGTCTTTAGAATCTGTGCTCTCAATCATGACAGTATGCTTTAAGTACCACATGATTTCGTGAGGGCAACCACAGTCTTGTTTTTAGGTTATAATGATATGTGAAAATGCAAGAGAGTGAAAACTAAGAAATTATTTACATAAGTAAATTTGCTTATTTTATTCATTGGGCCTATAGTTCACAAAAAGAAGTCTTTTAAATCAAACTTCTTTACATCTGTTCATATTCTATGAACATGAAAAATAAATTCAGCAGGCATTTAGCACTGAAATTGTTTCTTTTTAGTATGAGATGTGAGGTATATTTTCTTTGGTGTATGAGATGTGAAGGAAGTAGAAATGGTTAAAAGAAAAATTACACGAAGAGTAAGTGAACTCTTTTTGAGTCAATTCTAAAAAAAAATCATATTTCTTAGAGCTTTAGATATGAAACAAAATAATAAGAGTCAAGGAACTGCTGTTTAGTCATAAGAGAAAATAATATTAGGGAAAAGTTATATATAAAAGTTAGGACAATAGTTCAAGAATACTGTGAGGCATCATGGTGCGTAGTAGATCAATCTCAGGCTTTAGAATAAGAAAAAGCTTAACTTGAATCTTGTCTCTGTGACTTATTAGCTGTATGGCCTTAGGGAAGTATCTCACCATCTCTAAGCTTTGAAAAAAGCCTGCTATATGGTAAACAAATTGTATTAATTAAACACAATAAAACACAAAGTGTCTAGCAAGGCTCATGTCACAGAACACATATTTATTAAATGTTAAAATCCCTTTACCTTCTTTCTGAGCAACAACAAAAAGTAAAAAAATGGTTATCCTGGGACCTGAAGGAGCAAGGGAGTTTCACAGTGGGATTATGAGGTCAAAGTTTTTCAACATTTTAAGACTTTGGTCAACTTCACCAAATTTTTAAGTTTTACATTTTTTTACTTTGCTTATTATAAATGTTTATGACATTGACTTGAATCTAAGAAGACAGTTAGACTGAATGTTTATTTGTATTAACTGAATCTGAAACATGAATATAGTTGTGATTCATAGTCATTTTTATTAGTTCCTCTTAATTCATTCTCTAGCTAATAAGGCTTCATTCAAAATTGTTTTGAATTAATAATTTAAGGTAAATTAAAGATATGACATTTAGATAAAATTTTGATTTTGGTTATTTGTGTGTATTTCTTATCAACTACTTTAGCTGTGGCCCTCTGTACTCTGAAACAGAGTTGTGTTTCTTCCATAGTATCTACCACATGGTAGATGACAGTATGTCATGAAGGAGTGAATGGGTGAAACAGGTTACTAGCAATTTTATGTACATCAAATAGCTCTTAAAGCTTTTAAAAATGTAGCAGTTGCCAAGGATTTAGTCAGTAGGTTAGTTTAAAAATTGTCACAATTGTAGAAATCAAACATATATAGTAGGAAAAAATAGGAAAGAATATGCTAAAGGTCAATGAGAGAAACAAGGATAAGCAAATAAAATTTGAATAGAATCATACTAATAGAATCATACTAATTTGTTATGAACACATTTATAAATGAATTCACAGTTTTTCATATTTTCACAAAGGTATAAATTCATGGTATATATTCATCCTTTTAGAACTACACAGAGCAAGAGTGAACATAAAACATTTGCAAATCATCCTTTTCAAGTTATGATATACTTTTGCTCATGCAAGTAAAGATGTGTGAATTTTCCATTCTGTAATCACTAATTGAGTACTTACAGTATATCATACTGAGTCCTATAGGTGGATGAAAAAAAACATTGCCATTCAAGACTTTCACAGGAAGACTGTCACACACAGACATAATGCAAAGCCGACCATGATAAGTGCTTCAGAGTTCTGAACCGTGACTTCAGGGCAGGGATTATGATAAACACCAAACTGGAGCAATTCTAAAGAGCTTTACGAAAGAAGCAGCACTAGAACTGGGCCTTTATGGATGTCCCATAACCTACTAATGAGAGCAAAGGTGGTGATGTGGATTCTAAGCAGAAGAAATAGAGTGTTTTTATATGGCCTATTTGTGAAATTCTTTTGTCATTTGTTGCTACCCTTATCTGGCCAAGGGGTCCAAACCAGCACATCTTGTACAAAGCCTCATGCATTGGAGGCACTCAGTACTAGTTTTTGAATATCTGAATGAATGAATGAATGAATGAACAGACTTACAGATTCTTCTTAATATAGGACAATAACTTTCAAATAAAAAATGATATTTCATTGAGGATTGTTTTTCTTTACCTGATTATACCTATGCAATTCAGAAGAAAATTCAAACTACTGAACTCTGGTTAACATTCATCTCACCAAATTTTATTAAAATATAGCTGTGGTCTTTATTCCTAGCACTCTGTCCTTCTCTTTCTACATTTAATTTCGATACTTTAACTGGTTTGTTTAGATGCATGAGTTCAAGTATATTCCTCTGATTTCTTTCATCTAAAATACAAATTTCCTGAGGCTATTGTGCTGCTTATTATAAAGTAATATTTAGGTCATTTTTAATTTTCTCTTTAGAAGCAAAACAAGCTTATCCTATTATACAAATTCCACATTCTCCAGTTAAAAACCTGCAGCACAATGATAGAAAATAGGCATATATTTCCTATTGGAAAGTGTCCAAATAATACCTGGAGTAATTACCTGAGTTTTAAAAGAGATTGCATTATGGCAGTGGGGTTATTTTAGTTCAATGGCAGTTTCAGTCAATTAAAATTAGTCCCTTTTTGAGCCATTTTTCCTATTATTTGCCTTTTGGATTCAGTATGTCTTGGAAATTCAAATATATTACAATATGATTCATTTGGTATTTTGTTTCTTTTGGAAGCCAAAACAAAACTCTTTAGAACATCACAATCCCAAAAGGAAGCTGTGAGACTTATGAGTGTGATCACAACTACCTTTCTAAGATCCCAATTAGAATCTAGTTTTAAACACAATAAGCACCTTTTTTACTTTTGCAATTCTTCAGGGAGGGTAATAACAATACTGCATATTTGGCATTTTATTGTATGTGATCTTCCTTGATTTTCAGAGCAACCTGGAGAGATAAGTAGGGTAAATATTTTCTTCCCCAATTGATAAGCAAAGCTCTGTCATTTCCTATACGAGAGGAGATAACTCCTCAAAGTCCACAGCTGATAAATAGATGAGCTGGAACTAGAATTAAGTTCAGCACTTCCGCCTCTATATCACAATGCCCTTAGGACTTTCTTTTACTGAGTTACCTGTAAGGTATGCGTAAATATGAAAAGCGAAAGAAAGAGAAGAGTAATGATGTTATTTGAAAACTAACTTAAAAGACAGCTAGTGTAATGCTGTTGGCATTTGGGGAAAAGATACTTTATTTGAGAATCAGAGTGAAATATTTCCAGCACATACAATTCTTGGGTTTCATATGCATTTAAAGTTCATTTACTCTTCCAACATGAATGTTCTGTGAAACATGGACTGGAAGGAGGATGCCTCAAACCAGGCTGAATAGTGAGAGATGTCTTAATCTGTTTGAGAATTGATGGAGTGAAAGAAGATGTGGATGAGGAGGGTCAAACTAAATGGCGCCTGGGGGAGTGGAAATGGAAGGAAGAGTGAGCTGAGGAACATTATGACCCTGGAATAGACAAAAGTTGGGAGATAAGAAAACAGCAGACAGCACCGAACTTGCTCCTACTCTGAATAACCCTAGTAAAGTTAGCACGTACAGGCATAGGAATATCGACATTACTGGCACACATTTAGTAGAAAAAGGACAGATGATTTCTACACCGTAAAAGCCAAAGAAAAAAATATATATATATTGCTATATTGTTGATTTTACTATTTAAAGAATGTCTCGTTGCTCATGATATATGGTCTTGGAACAAAACGTGAGAAAGTTTCCTCGGAATACGATTGATGTGTTTGAATGTGAAACAAAATAATAAAAAGAAACATAGTCCTCATTTATAAAGGAGCATTGAACTGCTTACTCATGGAAATTTATCTTGCTCCTGCTATAAATCAGAGAAGTGTAAAAGAAAAGGAAATTAGGGTGAGTAATGAAAAAATAGCAATGAAAGTTGTTTTAAAATTGTGTGGCATTTTGTCATTAAATTAGATGTTATTGCCCAAGGGACCATTTGTTCTATTCTGAAAGAGACAAATGAATGAAAGATATTTATCTCAATAAATCTTTTTTTCTCGTTGTCTCTTTCAGGGGTCATGGTATACTGAAAAGGCACTTGGTCAAGTAATCTGGGGGGAGTTGGAAACCATCAAGTCATTGTGGCCACGCAGCAAGTAGAAAAGACAGAGGTAAGTACACTTGTGACCCACTGATCATGCTATTGAGGATGTCCTTGAAAATACCTTTGTTGCTATAAAGTCAGAGAACAGCAAAGAAAAGATAGGATGGGAGGTCTTTGTTTTAGAAAGCAAATTGATATAGTTTAATTGAAGCTTGATAGATCTATTAATGTCAAATTAATAGCACATAACACATGCTGAGAACTTGAGAAACACATTTCCATCCTATAGGACCAGTGATTGTACAGAGACTGATCTTAGTTTGATATTTACCTTCTTAGCTGTGCTTATTTAAATTGTTTTCAGCAGAGGCAGCCATTCCACCAAAATAATATTTTAAATTTATAGCCTTTAAAACAGAAGAGAAACTTATGATATTACCTACCAGGTCTTATAAACTTTATTATAATTTATTTCTAATTTTAATCTCCGCAGAGACTATAGTGATAGATTTATAATCAGTACGTACAAGTAAATATTATTGATGACATTGATGGACATAAATCTCAAATATTTTTTGAGAAACATTTCTGTCTACTGAGATATATACCAATATATCAGATATATTTCATATATATAAATGGCATATATGTGACAATAATATATATATATAAATGACATCCATTTATATAGGTGAATAATTTATATATCTGTATATGTACTTTATGTGTCCTTTAAAAATGAGGTTACATTTATATTGCAATCTTAATAATATTTCACAAAAATTCTATTACATTGGTAGATTTGTATTTGAGGCCACTCCAATATCTTACTGCTGCTTTTTCCCACCCAGAGTGAGAGATTTGCTCTCCTATTGCTGTTTAGATGGCAGGTCAAAAAACACAGAGCAAGCCTCAGTCTGTGTAAGGAACCCGATTTCTCTTCCTACTCTTGGATTCCCATGACAACAAAGCACAAAGG